GCATAATGTATCAAACAGTCTAGATCTATGTGTTGAAATTTGTGTACAATGATTATTACTACACCTGCTTTTAGAATCTTTGATAACTAATTAACTTGATAGCAATTTATCTGCCTTAAACTAACTCGTTCTAGCTTTTCAGTTTTTAATTTGTTGAAGTTTATTATTAGAAAATATTAGCTGCCAATATATTATTTGTTTAATTTTGTTAATGTTTAAAATGCCTTGCTTTGCACATGTTCACACCTTTTGCACCACCTTTTGTTGTTATTTTGTTGCATTGTAGCTATGCTGTTTCTTAATAATTTGGACTAAATGCTGGGATAGAGAAAAGCACACATAATTTTTTGTATGCTAAATTATAAACCACCACACTATCATATCTGTAATCAACTTAAATGGATCATCCTAAATAAAATAAAAATATAATGTTTAAGATTATGAACCCATGATTGAAATTTATTGAAAACTGTATGTGGGCTCATACTCTGTTTAACTGAAAAGTTACAATATGTTGCACAAGTTGCACATTTAAGCTACATTCAGTAATTGTATATTCAGGCCCACTATATATATGAATATTTAAAGGTATCATATAATACCTTTTTTATAATAACTTCATAAATTACACAACTTTAAAATTCCCTAAAGTAAAGAAAGTAAATTGTATAGGCCTAATTATCATACAATAAAAGTGTAGACATATTATAGTCTTTCTATTCTGAAAATGTTAAAGTGGCACTGTATCATATGCAGATTATGTTGGTGAACACATACCAATAGATGATTTAGTATATTTTATAAAGAATTTTTTTTTGTGTTTAGAAAGAAGAAACTTGTGAAATTACCTGTCCAAGAGGACCACCTGGATTTAATGGAACTGATGTAAGCCTTGTTTAAAATAATTACTGTGCTACTTTTGACTGAAAAATGTTTAAAACATAAACATTGACTACTTCATTCCTAATAAATTTAATTAAATGTCTATAAAGGAATCAAAACTTATATGCTCAATCAATATAACTCTTGTACATTTTAGTGATTTTTAAAATCTGCTCTCAAATTTAAAAAAAAATTTCTCATCTATTTTCTGCTGATAAAACAATTCATTTTAATAATCTGTTTGGTATATAAGCCTATATAATTAATAAGTTAGTATGACTGGTGTCTGTATATCAGTTACATAATCTGTAACTTTTTATCCGTAAGGGCCGCCCTGGCATTCCCGGAAACCCTGGACCTCGTGGCCTAACAGGTGCTCAAGGAGAACCTGGAAGACCAGGAAATCCTGGCCGTGTTGTGAGTCTCTAAGCTCAACTAATTTAGACCATTTGTTAAATAAAGTTTCTTTAGCTGATGTTTTTTTTTTTAAATAAAAAAAAAAATAAGATTTAATTATTATTAATAGATTGTTGTGCATCAATGGGGAATTACAAAAAGTTTATTTTTAGGGAGAACGAGGACTTGCGGGTCAAACAGGACCAGAGGGACCCAGAGGAAGTCCTGTAAGATGTTAAACAATGTTTTTAAATTTTATCAAACTTTAGTTTCTTAGAGTAATGATTTGGAGGTTAACATTAATATTTGCCAAAGCTATGAGATTAACCAAATTTCTTTTTTTTTTTTAATTTCAAAAGGTTTAGTTATATTTCTTGAGTTGGAAGAGAGTAATAATCTAGCAACTCTTATTATTATTGCTTAACTTAAAGATTTTGAAATTTGAGTTTATATGTAAGATGTAAGATCTTCTAATTGTAGATATACATTTATTACCCCTTCCCACCACCATACACCCCCCCCCCCCCCCATAAGTATTATTTTTAAACTTCTGAGTTTAAAAAAAAATCTTTCTCTATACAATATATTTCTTTGATGCAAAAAAATTGCTTTGGCTATTTCAAACATTTAGGGGACTGATGGACGTCAAGGGGACAGGGGACCCCCTGGCACACCAGTAAGTCAATCACTTGTTTTTGTGATTTGGATCTTGGACAACTTTAGCTAATTTCTGCTTGCTTTACTTCAATACTTAGATTTTAACGGAAAAGCAAAGTACATTAAAAATATCTTTCACAAGGCTTTAAGTGATTCCTTGTGTTTACATAGTTGAAATTATTACTTTGAGTCATTGAGTTTGGTCTCCTGTTTTAACTTGTGTATGATGTCCATCCATCTATTGAGGTTACTTTATTTAAACCAGAGAAAGTTCAGCTGGCTGAGCATATAGTGTCCAAACAAACAAACCTCATCCTTCTTTTTGACTGTGTCGCTCATTGATTATACTGTTGTGTACTTTTATGGGATGGCATGGCCTATGGGTATAGAGAGCTTGACTGACAACCCAAATGTCTCGAGTTCAAGTCAGGGTTCAAGTCAGTTGAACATCCCTGAGTCCACCCAGCTCTGATGGCTACCTAACTCATGTTAGGGAAAGTAAAGGCGGCCTAGCATATTGCTGACCACACTATCCCTTTTTATGCCAAGGTCACAGAAATAGGTGAACTACCTAACATGCCCCTTAGACCATCAGTTTTAAAAAGGGAGCTTTACTTGTGAAATTTACTGATTCATTTTTAATAGTGTACTTCATGCTTTTCCTGTTCACAGTCATATCTAAAAAAAATATTTTACTTACATTTCAAAACTCTTTAATTATACCGTTGTGTACTTTTACTCAATTTATTTTTAATAACAGGGTACGTCAGGCAATCCAGGTATTCCAGGACCCTCAGGACCCAAGGTAAATTTTTAGAGAGTAGAAGTGCCATTTTATTTAACATATTGTTGTATAGCTTAGAGTGTAACAATGTGTCCATTGTGATTCTATCTTCAGGGTGAACCTGGTGATGTTGGACCACGAGGCCCACCAGGACCTGCCGGGTCTGCTAGTGCTACTGTAAGTGGTTCTTGATTTTTTTCCATTTTAAATTATATCTAATTAGATTAATTTATTTATTCATTTTCTTCCTAGTCTCATTTGAAGATTAAAATGTTGCATTTGTCAGGCATCGGATGTTTCAATTTTCTTTTCTTTCTTTTTTCTTCGGTATGGAGACGGATACTTTCCTCTTCCTTTTTAATGCAGTATGAATGTTGTTCCTCTACTTGTGTCTCTGCCTTGGCCATTTTCATTCAGGACCTGGTATTCTTGCCTAGTGCTTTGATGTTACGTTTAGAAACATTCTCGTACCTTGGGGGCAGCTTGTCTGTTTTTTCCTTTGGCAAGTTCTAAGAATAATAAATCTTTAGGGATTCTTTCCTGTGTCGTGTCCCAGTCATCATAAACGGCGTTGTCAAAGTAAGCTGAGCATGCCGGGTAAGTTTGACCACTCCTGAATGTTCAGTGTCCTCAAGTGAAAGTGTCCTCACAGAAAAATCGTTCTCTATACAACTTGGCATTGGCTGTGTCAAAGGAGCTGCCAGTCAGAGGCGTAGCAAGGGGGTGGGGGGGGGGCGGGGGGGGGGGGGGGGGGCGGACCGCACCGGGTGACACCATTTAGGGGGTGACACCAAGGCAAAAAATAGCAAAATATATAGAGAAAAACTTGAGGGGGGGGGGTGCAAATCGAAAGTTTAAGGGGGGGGGGGCAAATCGAAAAATTGAGAGGGGGGGGGGGGGTGCAAATCAAAAGTTTGAGGGGGAGGGGTGCAAATCGAAAATCTGTGGGTGACACCATTAAGTGCCGCACCGGGTGACACCCAACCTCGCTACGCCACTGCTGCCACTATACTGTGTCTAATACAATTAATTCGGCAATAACCTATTTTCTACGATAATGTGAACATTAGCTTTGATTGTGGAGAAAAAAAAAAGTTTCTTATTCAACTTTTTTCGTACTCTACAAAAAAAAAAAGACCCAATATTATTGTATTAACATTTATCTTATACTTCCATGTCTTGAAATCACATTTTCAGGTAAAGGGTGAACCTGGAAGTCCTGGTCAACCAGGTGCTAGAGGCATACAAGGACCACCTGTAACTATGCTTTCAATATTGGTTTTAAAAATTATTTTTATGAAAACATGCACGTTTTTATTTGAGGAAATGTTTTCTTTCTATACAAGTCTTTTTCACATTAAAATCATATTTTATTTAGAAAATAAATTAGCTTAGTAACAACTTTATATTACAAATTTATAACTTAAAAATATTTATTTATTTGAGAAAAACTTTTCTATTTGTTAATATTTATGGAAATATTTTAATACAGGGAAGTGTGGGACCCCAAGGACTTCCTGGTACTGCAGGAAGACAAGTAAGTTAATTTACAAAACATGTTTTTTTTTTCTAACACCTTGTTCATCTAAACAATGATCAATTGTTCAAATATATTTTATTTTATCAGGGAGACAGGGGTGAGAAAGGTGCGTCTGGTTCACCTGGTCCTAGAGGAAATACGGTAATTACAAAAATTTCCAGTTTAAATATTTATGGTGAACTTTTGAAAATGGTCACTTGTTGTTTAATATATAGCCTAGTTTAGTATTTGATTTAGAAAATAATTTCTCAGCTAGACCAATTTATCATACATGTCAAAGAAACCTAAAGGTACCTTTCGTTTAAAAACAAGCATAGAGTTTCCAGCTTAAAAACATTATCTTTACATTTTTAAACTTTGGTCAGTTTGGCTGTATCCCTGTAACAAGCACTAACTGCTGTTTGTAGATTTGAGCCAAGGTGGGAAAAATAGTTTGAGGTAATAAGTAGGACAAAAAGGGCACATGCTAGATGAGCAGTTTCCAAAATTTGGGGGCAGCCCTGGTGGAGCGTGAAATGTTTAACAGAAATTAACAATGTAGAGATATAAGGATTTAAGTAAATTTTTCACAACTTGGATAAGAAAAAGTAAGTAAAGTACTCTTTTGAACATTGCGGTTAATTGAGCAGATGAAGTAGAGTTAATCTGTTATAGTGACCTCAACATGAAGGGACAGTGTGGTCAACACAATGCCAAGCCGCCTTTCCCTATTGTGAGTCAGGTACTCATCAGAGCTGGCATTGGATCTGGACTCAAAACTTTTGGGCTAGCAGTCAAATGCCCTACTATTCTACCATGCCGTCCCAGGATTCGCAATTACTGTTGGCAATTTAATCATCTTTCCATCCCAACGTGTGGTGTGTTGATTTCTGTGTTGATTTGATCACTGAAAGTCTCAACCTGCTATTGGTTAAAAATGTCCCTTCCTGAACAATTCATAAGGAGAAATGTCAAAGGTTTGAGTTTAGTGTTAACAGTATGAAGTCTGTCATGTTTTAATGGTTTTAAATATAATACTTGGTAACTGGGCTTACCACATGCTGATAATACCCCCAGTAGTTTTTTTATCTTCCTTACTCAAATGCATGCTTAAAAAATTACTCTACAACAAAGGGCACTTAACCTAGATGTAAATGCTCATCTAATTGTATATGTTAGATTAAAGAATTTTTAGTTTGCATAACCTTTTCTGAAAAGTCAACAGCTAATTAAAGTTTTTTTGACACATCTTATGAGAAGTCAGGTCCACAAAGAACTAGAAGTTATCTGTATGTGCTTAAAGATTAATAAGTATGATCTTAATAACATTTTTTAAAATAAAAATCATGCAAGATATTAACTAAAAATAACCCATTGAAACATGGTCTTTTATATTTCGCTGTGAAGTTAGTACAACTTATAGATACATTTTCATTTCTGGCCTATTTTATTGTAAAGTGAGACAAATGTGTAATGCAAATGTGATGGAGGGGTCAAATGAAAAGCTGCAACTTAATCATAGTTTTATAAAATGCATTATTTTCTGTCAGATCTTTAATGAAATCCAAATAACCCTTCCACTTACTAATTAAATAAAGCTGGAGTGATCTCCCCTAATTTTTCTAATATATTAAATTTTTTAAATAGAAAGGAATCTTGTAGAAAAAATAATTGTGCATCAAATGAACACAGTGTGTGTATAATAGCATGATAAATTTGAACTTCACAAAGGAAGTACTACTTCCAGTGACCGGAAATCACTCAAAATATTACAAAATCAAGAGAATAAGATCATATTAGCTACCTATGTATAAAATTTCTTCCACCTAACTGAAAAAGTACTCACATTTTTATGTTCACATGGAAATAGAGTAATGTACCACTTTCGGTAATAGGATATTGTTCAAAAGTTGATAGAAACCCACAAATAACATGCAATACTTATATGTAAAATTTTGTCCACTAACTTAAGTGGTGATCTAGTTATTGGCTTGTGAGAAATTGCTCAAAAGTTTAAAGAAAAATACAAATTTGATGTAGTACTTATATATGAAATTTCATCAACCTGACTGAAGTTGTAGGCCCTACTCAAGTTACTGTGTTCAGAGACATGTAGACAAACACTGACAAAATTGCAAAACAAACTATTTTCATTCCAGGTGGATGTAAAACGTCACAATTAGTCAAAATCTTAATTTAGATTTTTCAAACAATTTCAATGCATCCTTTATATCCTATCAAAGGCGTAGCAAGGTGGGGCGGGGGGTGCTGACCACACCGGGCAACACCTTTTAGGGGGGGGGGGTGACACCAAGGCAAAAAAATAGCAAAATATATAGAGAAAAATTTGAGGGGGGGGGGGTGCAAATCAAAAACGTGTCCCTGGGAAGGGTCACTACACCTCTGGGGGGGGGGTTGACACCATTAAGTGCCTCACCAGGTGACACCCGACCTCGCTACGCCACTGTATCAAATAAATTCTGGAGGTGTAAAATGGCAAAAACTGCCAAAATAGTTAATTATTGAGCATGATTACAATACTTCCTCTATACTCTGTAATATGATAAAGTAAAAAAAAAATTCATTCCATTACAAATGTTTATTACATTTGGGCAATAAAAGACAGTACCATAATTCAAAATGTGTATAATTTTTTTTACTTTACTTTATATAGATATAACATTTTAATTTTTAATAATTTTTAATAATTATCATAATTTATAACATCATTGTTTAGTAAGCTTAGGCACAGTTTTGAAAATATAAAATTAACTTTGAATATTAATTTGTTAGTTATTTTACATAAAAAAAAAAAATTAAATTATCAAGGGAAACAACCTCAAACTTACATTTCAAAAGTCATTAACTATGAAGAGTAATTCAATAATGAAATAAATAGAAAAGGAGATAATTGCTCATTATTTTTATTAATTAGGAATTTTGAAAATCTTACAAAACTGTTTATTTATTTTTATACCTCCAATCTTACCATTAGCATTTGACTCATTTTTAAAATAGAAAACTAGTAGCAGTATTAAATGCTTAACTTTTAGACGTGTAATAACTCCTTTTAATAATTGATTAGCTGACGGATTCCGAAAGTACACAGTATTTTCATCTTACTATAATTGTGTTAAGTAGTACATGACCAATGCCATCAATAGAAAACATTGAATCAGTTTCCCAAAAAAGTACCATCCACTCTTTAATTTATTGTTTTAGCAATGACACTTTCTGAAAATACCCAGCAAGTATATTTGGAATAATAGAAATACTAGAATTCGTGTGGGTGTCGGTTTTGCTGTTTGTTTTTACTTTTTTTTTTTTTTTTTCAAAAACGAGGTGAAAGACAAATTATGCTAAATTAATTAAAAGTCGATATTTAAAATTTAGTTTATTTGGATGCCACTGAGGTTTTTATTTTTAAATAACTGAACTTTAAAAGGTTTACATAAAAAATCCACAATCAGCTTATGCTTGAAATACCTTGTTCTTCTCACCACAGGGCCCTGAAGGAAAAACTGGACCTATAGGCCCAGCTGGACCTCCTGGACCACCAGGTCCTCCTGTAAGTTTTCTTTTGGCTCTCTGTTTTATGGATATTACTTACTTGACTTAGTCCTGTTTGCTCAATATGGAACATGGGGCCTCAACCATTTTCCTTACATTTCATTCGATCCCCATCTATTAATTTTGCTGTCTCCCAAGACATCCCTGTTGGCTTCAGTTCTTCAAGAAGACTCAGCCTCCAGGTCTGTCTTGAGCGCCCTCTCTTCTGCTTTCCCTGAGGTTCCACTCAAGCGCTTGGCGTGTAACATTTGGGTTTTATAAAGGCATTAAATAAAAACTATACTAATTTTTTTTATGTATTAAAAAAAACGTACATTTTTAACATATATTTTTTATTCTTTTTATTTTTAATTTTCTCTTTGATTACTTTGATGTTTGGGTACCACTAGAAGAAGAAGTAAAAATTTTATATGGCACATGTGTTTTTATATAGGGTGCCCCAGGACGAACAGAAATTGATGATAATCGAATAAGTCAAGTTATACCTGTAAGTAAGAAAATAAAATCTTGAATGTTTGGCTTAGGAGAAAAATACAGGGTATGAAACTACTAAGCTAAACGATGCTTTTTAGTAGATGCAATATTTTCACTAAAATTGTATCCTTAGTAACTAATGTATATATATTTTAACTAGTAGCCTAATCAGAATCTGTATAGAATATAATTATTCAAAACAATAAACTTTGTCTATAGGGACCACAAGGGCCAGTGGGGCCACCTGGTATACCTGGTCCAGAAGGTCCAAAGGTATTTATTACAAACTTGCGTTGAAGCTCACAATAGTCACTGTTTAATAAGTTTCTTTTAAAATTGTTTCTTGTACAATCATTTATCCTATGCATTGTATTTCTAAACCTCCTTTAGAAATTATTTTTATATTTTACATTAATTGTTATTGTATTTGAAATATTATAATGGCATTCTTTTTTTTAGGGTTCAAAGGGAGAATCAGGTGAAAAGGGTACACCTGGAAATAAGGTAAGAAAAACTTATCTAATAAGCTTTTACATCCACAAAATGTTATAGAAAAGAGCTAAATGTTACTTCTTTATATAGCCTTTAGGAAAAGCTGTGGGTGCTAAAAAAAATCTCAGTAAAACATTTAGCTGGCTGTTAACAGGGATTTGATACATTTCTACTTTTAATATCTAGACATTGTAAAAATATTTTGTGCATAAGTTGAAAGATACTAAAGTTAGAAGTAGTTTGAAATTGACTTTTATAGAATTGGACCATTACAGCTTGAAATAAAGAAACCCATGCAACCTGGACGTGTGCCTAGTTAGCTAATATGATATGTCTCATTCTATGTCAGCTTCTGGATATATAATTCTCACAAAATGATATCACTAAAATATCAAGATTTGGTTCTGCTTAATGCTGACCCATCCCTTTCTAGTGTTGTTGTATGGCTAGTTATACTATCAATATATCTAATGCAACCCCCAACACTTAAACATCAGGATCTGGTCCAGCATAATGCTGACCCTCTCATTTTCTAGTGTTCTTATAGTTATACTATTGATATTTCTAATGCAACCCCCAACACTTAAACATCAGGATCTGGTCCAGCTTAATGCTGACCCTCTCATTTTCTAGTGTTCTTATAGTTATACTATTGATATTTCTAATGCAACCCCTAACACTTAAACATTAGGATCTGGTCCTGCATAATGCTGACCTATCACTCTCTAGTGTTCTTGTAGTTATACTATTAATATATATTTAATGCAACCCCCAACACTAAAACATCAGGATCTGATCATGCTTAATGCTGAACCATCCCTCTCTAAAATTCTTGTATGGCTAGTTAAACTATTGATATATTTCATGTAACCACCAGCATGAAAAATCATCCAATTGTGTTATAAGCACAAAGTTCATGCTTTTGAATTGTTTTAATTGAACTAGGGAGACCGTGGTGAACAAGGAAACCCTGGGAACCCAGGAAAGGATGGCATACCGGTAGGTTTTAGGCTAGTTATCTCTGTCTTTTTTTTTTATAACAGTTGAAAAAAAACATGCAGTGAAATGACCAATAAATGACAAATAATCATGCAGTGATATGACAAATAAATGATGTTAATTTTATTTGACTTGCTGCAGGGTCAAGATGGAAAGGAAGGCAGACGTGGGACACCTGGAGCTAAAGGAGAAACAGTATGGGTGATAACGTCTCTGTGGACACAATTAGAGTTATTACTAATGAACACATCATTTTAGCATTCACTTTTTTTGTTTGAGCGACATATTAATATATCTTTCTATTTTTCATTCTTTATTTTGCTAAAGAGGTAAATATAGTTTTTCTTTTGTTAAGGGTCTTCAAGGCGTGGTTGGACCAGCTGGGCCTATGGGAAATCCAGGAATACAAGTAAGTAATAAAGTAGAGCCAGATATTAAATCTTTAACAGTTAACTGTGGTGTAAAAGTTTAGAATTTGTAAATGGATGTTTAAAACTTACAAGGTTTATTTTTTATCATTTATCAGGGTATACGGGGACAGACAGGCGAATCAGGGCAAAAAGGTGACAGAGGAGATCCGGTAAAGCTTTTTAAATCATATTTTAATGTTGTCGTTTGATAATATATACGATCCATTTGTAATGGTGTTTTATAGACCCCTATAAACTTTGAATGATTTCAATAGATAATGTTAATCAAAGTTTGATGCCATTACATAAGATATAACATCCTTCTTTTATGAGGTTTTAAACCAAATCTTAATGTTATCATTAGATAAAGTAGGTATACCATTTTGTTTAACTGCTGAGCTTTAATGTAATACTTTTAAGAAGCTCAATATTGTTTTTTAAATCATGCTGAAAAGTGCACCATTTTAGGCCTAAACATTTTTGCTCTTTCCCATATTTTTTATTCCAATTAAAACTACATTAAACTTTAGAAACAACTGCATAAAGGACACTGACCCTGTTCTAATTTCTCAAATTAATGTTAATTAATTAATGTTAATTTTTGTAAAAATTTCAGCAAACTTATCTTTTCTCATCACCACCAGGGTCCTCCAGGTCCCCCAGGGGCCCCCGCAGTTGTCACACACGGAGTTGATGGGGTAAACGACACCGTCATTATCCAGCAGCTGCAAGTACTACTCCTTCTCAAAGTTTTGCCTGAACGCACCCAAAATAGTCCTAGTGTTCTGAAAAACCAGCACCAAATTATATTTATTTCATTTGAAATGCACATTGTTTTTTTTTTTTTGTTCAATTATTTTATTATCGAATAGTTGAAACAATACAAACCCACACCAGTTTATGCTTGTCAGCACACCTAGTTATTAGTTATTTTTATTTTTCAATGTATTTTAAATTTAGTTTACTGCATCATTTTTTTTTTCGGTTTAAAAATAGATGTGAATTTTAAAAGAACCTTCCCTCCATAGTCTTATTAAAATTTATATGTAATAATGAATAGCATTTAGCTTACTTGCAGAAAAGTGCATATATCATAGAATAGTTAGTTATTCATAGAGCTATTATTAATTCTACTGCAATTTACTTATAAAATAGATCTATTCCTGAGACTTTTGCTTATATGATACTTATTGTTCTGTTCGATTATTTTTCTGCAGTTGGTAAAGGATTCATACAAGGCAGGAAACTATTTTTTTGTTATTGAGACTTGATTTTAAATGTGTAGGCTGTTTACTTACTTATACTCACAGTCAACTTGCTTACTTCAAACAACTATTCACATTTGAATAAGTTCAATACAGTGATTTATTTTTCAATTAGTTTGTTAAAGATCTAGAAGAGATTAGAGCATTGATTTGTGTATGAAAGCTGGTTTGCTTGAAATATTTACAACTGTTATCAAGACCTAAAGCTACAAATTTAATTAAATCCACAATTTTTTTTTTAAATTGGTAAAATTATGTAAAAAATAACTTTGAATGATAGTTTTGGAAACAAAGCTTAAACTATGATTTAATTTAAATTTCCTTCTAATTAATTTTTTTTACTTTCTAAATCTATTTACTACAGAATGAACAACTCTGTATATAATAAGATTCCTGCATAATTTCCAAATCTCTCTATTAAAAGAAAACTGAGCATGGACAGTTTTCATATACTTTTCTTCTACCTTCAGAGCGACACATTTTTTTTTATGTTAAACGGGTTTTATATTCCCAACTCATATTTTATTACTGTGAAGCTTTTGGGAGGGGGGGGGGGGGGGAGTTCCTTTTCATATGAAAAAAAATCTGCTAGTAAATAAGAAATGTCATCCAAGGTCTTGCAGCCTTTCAAAAAAATTTTTGTTTTCTTTTACACTGATGGATGCACATGTTCTGTCTATAGGGTGGCTTTTGCAGGCGTTATTTAAAAAAAAAAATATAAACACAGAACGATGGGGGGGGGGGGGGGGGAGAAATGTGAGTGAAAAACGATAAGCAAAAAAAAAATAGAGCTTATTTAGTAAATGGATGCAATTTTTTTTTTATCTGTCCACAAGCTTTTCCCAAATAGACGAGTAGAAAAAATATCTTTATTAGCAGAAAGTAACATCCCAACGTGGCAAGGTTACTGGGGTGCACGCAGGAAAAACCCGTCCCCGTCTTTTTCGAGTGGCGCGGGGAGAGAAAGAAAAAAAAAGTTGCCTGGTTGGCCAAGTGTAAAAAGAGCAGATTAGTTTCTCGTAGTCGTAACTTTTTTTTTGGGGGGGGGGGTGGATAAACCTAGGCTTGTTGTTTACACGCACAAAAATCGGTCATAGATATAATTTGTGGGAATCGTAAACTTGTAACGTGATTTATTTGACCTAAGACGTAGACATCTTTTTCTATGTGAAACGTTCGAATGCTATTTTTCATTAATTTCAATGCTGATCTACGGTTATTGCAAGCCGGCAATAATGTATGAGCTATGTTTAGATATTTCACGTCTTTAGTTTGTTACACTAAGGAACAAACTGTTGCCTACTATTACGCATGTCATCACTCACTGAGTACACAACCTTTTAAAAAATCAACCACAACCTTCAAGTGCTTATAGGTGAACGATACCCCCCCCCCCTTTCAATAAAAACGAGAATTAGGCTTCCCATCATCCTGGGTGGGGATGAGGGGAATAGTAAAAGTGAAAGATATTGTGCCCTTAGAGAGTTTCAACATTTTACGCCCAATCGACTTCACTTAGGGGAAATGCACTGTAAACGAAATATGTATATTTCCCCGCGGTTGTCTCCCTTGGTGCTATCCGCTGTTCTTGTGTGTCAGACCACGGAACGTTTTGTTTTTGTTCTTCGCTTAGCTGAATGTGGGGAATGCCTGATACGGTTCGTCTGCAAAGTCTGATTACACTTGACTCCTTCGTTCTGTGTGAGCGGGCCAGTGCATTGTTCGGTTTTGATCTCAATGTGAGGCTTTCACTGTTTCTTTCAGACTTTTTCTCCGGGAGGGGGGGGGGGCGAAGAGATGTCTAGAAGAAACCCTGGAGGTTTTTAATTAAGTTGGGCTTGGTGGAAAGTTAACTTTTGGTTAAATTTTAATAGAATAAAAGTCAGGATTGGTAGAAGGTTAAGCCTTCACGTTTTGAATGTTGTTTATAATTCAAGATTCTAAAAGCAATAATTTTTTTGTTCAGTTGCACAATTGAATAGAAAGGGCCTACAAGTGGAAATAGTATTTCAACTTTTCTTATTTCTTGTCTTTTCGTTTCCACCTGTAGAGCATTATACATTGCCTTCTTAGGTCATGTAAAGGATTGTCAAAATGTCCGATTTAAATCATAAAGAATGCACAGATTTTGATAGCATTCGCTAGAGTAGTACATAAAGGATGTCAAGCAACCTGATGTATAGGTGGTTGTTGGGGAAGGGGGTTGGATGTATATTTTGCGAAAGTAAATTTTTTTAAAAATTTGTTTTAGGATTAATAATTTTTTTTTTTCTAAATTAAAAAAAATATTTCAATTTTACAGTTTCGAAATGCTGTAGTTATTGTTTGATAAATCATACAAAAGCTTAGCCTTTTTTTTAAAAAAGTAGGCCTCTACATTTTATTATAAACTTTAAATGAAATATACACAAATAAAAAAAATCTACAACTTAGCTGACTAATATACTTTCTTTTAGAAGCTAAAAAATAAAGAACAGAACAATGCTAGGGTTATGTAAAGAGTTTTAATACTTTTATCAGAAAAATGTCATAACAATAGATGGCATCTAATGGCAAGACCAGGCGTTACATTGAGATGGAGTTGTGCTATAGCTGCGCACATTATGTACAACAGTTATTGCCCTTTGTTCACATCTATTCACATGCTCATTTTGCTTTTGTTGTTGTTTTTTTTTTTTTACTTTTTTGTATTTTCGCTTTATTTATATATTTCACGTTCTCATCTTGTCGTCACGTTAATCACTGAATGTTGCACGTGTGCCATGTTAGTTTAGTCTTGTATCATATGTAGATTAGACTTGCATGAATACTTTTATCATTTATGTACTTAGACTTATTTTTAACATAATGCATGCTTTTAATATTTGCCAATTCATCAAACGTTCAAACGTTAATTAATTCATGAACATATTAATGCATTTAACGGTTGGGATCTGTTTAGTTATGGGTTATAAAATGGTGTTTTGGGTTTGGATTAGGTTTCTATAGAAGCCAGGCAAAGTGTGACACAATTATGCGAACAAATTAACAGTACCAGTGTTAGTCATACTACAACAAAACTTAGTCGATTCGTGAAAAAAAAAAAACGACACTTTTTCCCTATCTTTTAGTTAATGTTTCATGCAATTTTTATGTACTGAAGATAAAGAAACCCGATTGTAATTAAAGCTTTCAGTCTTAACATTCTACTACGAAAAAAGTATTAATAAACTACATTTACAACTGCGATTGGTCTAGAACATCGGTTCTAAGCCGGTTTGGTTAAGAACCACTGATCTAGTTACACTTTAATATTAAAGAAAAAAAAGTATTCGTCTTTGCGTGACTACATTTCAATTATATTGTCATCTGGGAACACACGCCAGCAACATTTAACAACAGACATTTCAACAGACGATTATTTTATTATAACAGGTCCCATTATCCCATCATTTCATCATCACTGCCATTTTTTATTATCCAAGACATATACTATAAAAAAAACTTAATCTTTCTTCCATGACAGGGTACACCTGGTCCCCAAGGCCTTCCAGGTCCCAAAGGCTCCGCGGTAAGGATTTCTGTGCTGTTGTTGTCGTGTCAATAAATAGATGCTGTAACCCCATCCGTCGTGCTGTTTTGTCTAGCCGACCCGCTGGTTTATGGCGTAGTTAGACGGCAGTTACTGCACGCTGTGGTACGGAATGCTTCATGGGTTAGCTCAAAGAGCATTGGAGGTTTACTGCTAATTGGGTTCGGCTAAAATGCAGGATTCTGTTGGGTATAAAAAAAAAGTTGCATTTTCCCCGGGCAATGTTCAAACAACCCATTCGTCACGTAAACGTGGGTGCATGTTTTTATATGTTGTGGGAATTTTAGATGTTCCCATTTTCTATGTGAAGGCCTAGGTTTTTTTTCAATTCTACATGGTTTTTCCATTCTCTTTGTGTAGCCCCATGTTGTTTTAGGAATCCTGTAAGATGCTCCCATTTTCTGTGAGTTTGCCTATATATTGTTGTAGGAATCATAAAAAGTGTTCCCATATTCTGTGTGTTGGCCTATATATTGTTGTGGGAGTCATAAAAGGTGTTCCCATATTCTGTGTGTTGGTCTATATATTGTTATGGGAGTCATAAAAGATATTTCCATTTTCTTTGTGTTGGGCTATAAATTGTGGGAATCATGAAAGGTGTTCCCATTATCTGTGTATAGGCCTACGTTGTTGCAACTTATAGTGATCATATACATTTAATAAACTTGTCTATGTTTGGACCAAAGTACACTTGTTAAAATTTATATGGGACGGCGTGGTAGGACAGTAGACTGCCAAAAGTCTCGAGTTCGGATTTGGGCTCGGGTAGGTAGTACGAACTTGAGTCCACCCAGCTATGTTGGGTACTTGAACAACTTAAGGGAAAGTAAAGGCGGCTGGGCATAATTCAGAGATTTAGGTAGTGCTAAAAATAGCTTTTTCGATATTTAACTGTTTTATAATTTTCACCCCTCCCCAGAATGTAAAATTTTGTATATTTGTTTTGGTTTGAAATCACGAAGATTATAATCTTTTAGTCTTTAATTAAAGATATATTTATCCAGTCATTAAAAACTTATTGTCATTATAAGCCATGCTAGTGAATGAACGATACATTGTTTTTTGTAAAATGTATCAAAGAAATAGTTTAATAAAATCGAATTATTGATCTAGATTTCCCCTACAACTTAAATATAGTTACATCATTAAAAAGCCTAGGCCTGCATAATACTTGCTTTCATGTAGGTAATGTCAAATTTATAAAGTTTCACAACTTTTTCTATCAGGGATATCCAGGAACACCTGGCTTGCAGGGAGAACGTGGGCCTCCAGGAAATCCGGTAACAAACATTTTTTCTTGTTGTTGTAATTTTCGCTTTTACAACAATATCGTCATGTTACTTTAAAATACAGTTTCTAGCTCAGAGTTAAAATTTTAAAACAGGAAACAGCTATTTTATTAGTCTTAATTTGTAAAAATTATTTCACTTATTTTTTTGTTAGAAATTATAATTACGTTTTAATATTTGTTGGTTAATTTTTATTAGAATTCTTTTTTTAATAGTTTTTCAACACCGTCGTTGATTATTTTCTATTTTATAATATTGTGATAATGTCAAATTAAACGGCAATATGATGAGATTGATAACTGAATACTGTACTGTTCAATGCATACAAATTTAATTTAGCATTAAAAATTTAAATGAGAACAAAAAAAGTTGAGTATGTAAGCATTTTATATTGTATTAGAAAAGTTATGGCTTTAAGAAATGTGATCAGTGATAACATATAACCTTTAAGAATCGTTGTCAATACATGTAATAGCGTGTAAATAATATAAGCCATGCATGAACAAGTAAGGGTTTGAACTGGCCTTTAAATCGTCCAATTTTGTTAACACTGCCAATGTGAGTGGCGTGACAGCGGAGGTTCATGCTACTATTTTTTCCTCAGGGTCCACAAGGTTACCCAGGGCAGTTCGGAGCGGCTGGGGTACCCGTAAGTGATTTTTTTTTTTTAAATAGTGGTTATCTGATCAAATATCGGTTGTTTATTTTTTTTTACATTTTCTTAGTTAAAATTGAAGCGGAAGATTAAGGAAAAATAATATAACGAGAAACATCTGACAGACCAACATTTAATAGCCTTAGTTGAGAGAGAGAGAGGGTTGTAAGACACATATACATTTTAGGAAATGTAGAATCAGCCTGTTCGTGTCAGAGTACTCAAGTAAACGTTTCATAATTTGTCCAGAGACCAGAAATGCTGATGCCACGAAAATTGTTGTCTAGTACAGATAGCCTACACGTTTTCGTTTTCAGTAATTTAAATTGAAGCGGTCGCTGATGAACTGAGATGGAAGAGAAATCTTGCAGTAAATGTCATAAAATTTATTTGAACATCAAACATCAGACAGCTATGTTTCACATTTTTGTGCAAGATACGCGTTGTGATTTCTTCCCAATTTTTAGGTTACGGGTAATTTCTGTAAAACTAACAAGACGACCATTGTGATATAGGGCCTATGTTGCTTTTTTTTTTAAAAACAAATTAATAAACTTTTTTTTCTGACTAGGGTGCGAAGGGAGACAGGGGTGACCCAGGGGCTCGTGGTCAGATTGGTCCAGAGGTGAGAATAACCCAGTGCTTGACTTTTGTCTTCTCTGTTACACATGTTCTCTGTAGTACATGTTCTCTGTACTATATGTTCTCTGTACTATATGTTCTCTGTAGTACATGTTCTCTGTAGTACATGTTCTCTGTTACACATGTTCTCTGTAGTACATGTTCGCTGTAGTACATGTTTTCTGTAGTACATGTTCTCTGTAATACATGTTCTCTGTAGTACATGTTCTCTGTAATACATGTTCTCTGTAGTACATGTTTCTATAAAACATCTTTCTGTAACACGTTTCTGTAATGCATGTTTCTGTAATGCATGTTTCTGTAATACATGCTTCTGTTTGCATGTTTCTTTAATACATGTTTTTATAATACAAAGACTCTTTTACTCGACAAAAATTGTATGTTTTGATTTTTCAAAAAGTTTTAAAG